GGGCTTGGGGGTTGAACCCCTTGACTCCTGAGACCATCGCTCTCCCACTTTGGTCTTTACTGCCTCCCCCGGACTATTTCCCAGTTGGGGAACTAAGCAACGATTTCCTGGAGCGCGTTTTGCGGAAGCGTGGGCGCGTAAGCCCCAACTTCCAGCCCGGCGCGGTGGTCCTGGGGCTCGGGCCCCCTCGCTCTTCCAGGGTGCTAAGCTCCTCCGGATTGCGAGGGCAGCCCGTGCCGGCCAGGCCCACTCTGTGTTCCGGTGGAGGGCTGTAATAACTTCGGGCATCCTTAGGGATCCGCACAGATCCCAGGAATCCTTTGGGCTGCTGGTGTTTGTTTACCTGAGCAGTGTGATGTTGGGAGAAACGGCTGTGTCCTCCCCTTCCCCGGGATATTAGCGGGTGAAATCAACGGAAGGAACAACCTGGCACGGAAAACGGGTGTGGGGGCAAACCTTCAGGGCTATTTATGGTTTGGACAGGCTTAGGGATGGGGGAAGATGCAGTCAGGACGTGGGGTGATGACTAGGGAATGGAGGCATGTCCTTGGCGCACATTCCCTCCCCGGAATGCCGCCTGCGTCCTTTAAAATCCGAACCGCCTGCCTGGCTTCATTACACCTGTCATGTGTCCTACACAGTTGGAGAACTTCCTGATGGTCACCTATGCCGTAGATACTTACACTGCCGCAGGAGTGGGCGGGATGGGCAGGGTGTTCTTGTTCGCTTCTGGCCTGTTTATGTTCCGTTTTAAGCAGATCACTTACAAGATCTGTGTCGCACTTGACTCTTCTGGGAAATCATTCTACCTAATCAGCCTGCTTTACAGGTCATTTGGGATAAATGAGAAAGTGAGTAAGAAAGCACTTTGAAACCAAATGGTTATGTTCAATAGGCGAACATGGAGAGGTAAAGGAATAAAAAGGTGATTCTGTGAGTCCTGTTACACATGCCCAGCCATATACCTCTCTCTGAATTCCCTGTTCCCGGTGAATCTCATGGAGCCTCTCCCCTCCTGTGATCTGATAGGTCCCCTCCTTGCTGTGGAAATCCCTGGATGGTAGGAGCTGAGTCCGAGTCATGGTGGCATCTACTGAGGAGCCTGGGGCCCTACAGGAGCAGAGTACTAAGTAAACCTTCATACTAAATGCACTTTCGCACTGGTCACCCTTTACTTTCTTCTGAACTCCTTTCCCACTTACAACCTGGACCACAACGTTTAGCCCTGGAGGGGGCTAAACTCATTTGACATTTGAATGGAAGATTGGAAGTGTCCTGGGCGGTGATCATCATTATCAGGAAGTGAAGGCTTCCTCTATAACACACGGTCCTTGAAGTTTCATGAGGACAGGGACTTGGTCTGTCTCCTTTACCACAGTGTCTGAAGTGTCAGTATGTTATCTGACAGAGTAGATGCTTGCTAAGTATTTGTTGATGAATGAATGGCTTTTACACATCATAGATGGTTTAGTACATACTTAATTCACAGTCACATGTTTTCGAATTGGATGAATAATGCGTACATCAGCCTGGCTGGTACAAAGGGTTTGTGTTCAGAATAATGAGACATAAAAATGGAAAAGGAGCAAGAGAGAGTACTGTGAAGGGACAGGGTCCCATTCCGTAAGCGTGGGAAGTAACCATAGATTTCCAAATAGCATGGACACAATAGAAGTGGTATTCTAGAAAGTTAACTGGCAGCAGGAGTA